AAAGCAGAAAAATTGGCGCCAGACCAAGTATTGATTGGTCACCAGTCTGGGACACAAGAATTAACGAAGTGCCCTGCAGTCTTGTTCGCGGCAGATCACGGGGCGTTCCAGTGAAGATAGGCTCCTGCTCCACCAGCCAGTTGTCGAAGCGTTTGGTATGCGACAATAACTGGCGGAAAATGACTGGTACGAAGGAAATGGCGCAGGATTGACGTTTGCCTGTACAAAAAAAGAAGAGATACTGGCTAGCGCTGCGCAGAGCCCATGATGTGCCGCAATTGTATACCCCAATATTCTCTTCGCTGCGGACGGTTGGGCGTGTCAGGCAGTATGAGTGTGGCCGTCAAAGCCGTTCTCTGCCTTCTTGTTGAAGCGCGCATGCGACAAAAAGTGGTAGAAAACGAGTAATACGAACGATATGATACAGTCATATCACTGCTCGCTTTAACAACTGGTGGAGAACGGGTTTGGCACCGCGCCAAACTCATCCCGCCTGACACGCCCAACCGTCCGCAGCGAACTATACTATATTGTGCGTGGTTTAAGGTGTATATATACACTTTTCGCCGCGAGCACGCATTTATTTATTCGCAGCCCAGTACGATCGAGTATTAAGTAATCAACAGGTGTAGGGAATAAGAAAATACGAAATGCCCTACAGCTTTGTTTGCTGCAAATGATGTGGTGTGTCAGTGAACAAGAGCACACGAAAAATACGCTTACAGGCGATATTGACCAGACCATACACAGGAGTGCCCCTCATACCCCAGAAAATAGGGTAATATGTTAAGGAACTCGAGTTCCATATAGGCGCTACAACATAAGATCAGATGACACAATGGAAAAAAAAACCTTTCTTTGAATACGAAAAACGTGTTTCTCAACATCAACTATTAGCTTTCTATGGAAATGAAAATTGCTGAACTGTGGAGATGAAATCGCTCTGGTAACAGCATGACGAAAAGGCCTACAATTCGGGCTCAATCAACTATTACTACCCCAAAAAGGGTCAAAAGACAACTGTCAACCGGATGCTCTCTCGCTGTTAGGGCCCAGAGTTGCTTTCTCATCGCATCTTCTGTTCGAGCATTAGAGGAAGGAAAATAGGGAAAGTGGATGAGAGAAAAAAGAGACAGCAAAAAAAGAGAGGAGTTAAGAAGAAGGAAGGAAGCGGAAGGCTCCGCTGTTGACAGATATCCTGAGACTCCCCCCCCAAAAAAAGTTAAAAAATATATTTACTGAAACTTTCCCCTCAGGGGTAATTCGGTGTCCTGCTCACGAATGTAGCACTCGTTTGTGGGCCGGCGCCAAGTTGGCGCCATTTAGTACCAGTATGGCTCCGTCACCTTCTCACCAAATTCCATGTAAATTTGTATAGTAGGCTCACTTGATCTCCTGATCACGAATACCGCATTAGTTTTCAGCCCTGGCGCCATTTGGCGCCATTAGGCGCTGATTTGGCGCCACACCCTTTTTTCATCAAAATTGATAAAAACCTGCACAATGGGGTTGTTTGATGCCCTGATCACGAATATGACATTCATTTTCGACACCAGCGCTATTTAGCGCTTTTCTCAAGCTGAAGGGAGAAGGAGTGATACCTTTCAGTCCATTCTCAGCCTTAGCAGAGTGCAGATGATCGTAGTGTCTTCTATAAGCGCCGGCGCCAAAAATGAATGTGATATTTGCAATCAAGATGTTGCATAACCTCCATATTCAAGTTTTCAACGGATTTAGTGATTCAGTTTGATTTGGCGCCGGTGAATGTGGCGCTTGCGTCAAAATAACCTAAGTCACCAGGCGGTGTAAGGCCGAGCGGATGTGATATTCCTTTTCAGGAGATCAAACTCCTCTGGGTACAAGATTTCAACGGATTAGGTGATCTAAGGTACCTTGGCGCCGGCGCCTGTGGCGTGGGCGCCAGGCAGTTTCATTTCAAGTGGATGTGATATTCGTGTTCAGGAGGTCAATTACCTCCAGAACCCAGTGTTCAGTAAAATCTGCCTCCGTAGAGAAAGTCGAGCAAAATCTGGCCTGTTTTCGGAAAACTGGGGTAACGATAGTCAAATACTGCCTGAACTTCTTTATAACACCCGTGTTGGTGCGGCGTAAATTAAACACCCTGTTTTCTAGGATATAATACTAATTAGGGGGCTTCGCCGGCTAATGCCGGCGCACCTCCTTCTGAGATACAGCACGACTTTTCCGAGCTCACCACGACCTGAACGACCTCCCTTATAAGTGATTCTAGGATGTCCCGATTCACAGCAGGGAAATCGCAATTATTTCTCGTCACGCAGCACACTGGCGTCAGAATAACTGTCATGATAGCTCATTGTTAACATATTTTTTGAGTAACCCCGTGAAATCACGGTATAGGACGTAGCCTGCCAGGGCACAAATGGTTGACACCGAATTGCTACCTGAGTGAACTAGCCAGGATTACTATTTCCGCGCAGAGTTGGTCGCGCATGCCCTGATATGCGTACAAACCTCGGGAAAATTCGCTCGGAAAAAAGTCTGCTTGTTTTCATTATCTTTTACGGCAAATGTGTAGTCTCTCATTTAGGCAGCGTTCAGACTCGCGACGGCAGCGCTTTGGTCGCGCGTTCAACACCGCATTCAACACGCTCGATGCAGTCGAAAGAATGCGTATCGATCGCGTAAAACGGCCGACCGAAGCGCTGCTGTCGCAAAGTCTGAACCCTGCCTTACCCTACCATCCTTTTGGCGGAATACACGTCTTTTCGAATTTATTCAAGAGAAAGAAAACAAGTGGAACAAATGAACTTCAAAACTTGCGTACGAAATGAAAAATGAGAACAAAGCTAATAGATGCAACTTCCAAGTCAACATGAAACAAAGCAGTGCGAGCGAGAAAAAAAAATCGACGTCTTTTTTTTGTATGTAAAACTGAAGACAAGATCGCGCAGTGGGTTAAGAACAAAATCTATTGAATACAGTTTAAACTAAACCTAACAAACACTTATGTGAATGCACACGGAAATTTCGTTGACCGCAGGACTTTAGCAGGAGGGGTATGTGACAAGACAATCGTGATTCACCGCGCTGATAAGCGTCGCGTGGCGAGGTCGCTCGCCCAAATGACCGCGGTTCTATATCGTAAATCCGCATAAAAATGTATAACCGAAAATAGTCATGAACGTCTACGATGCCGTAGTCTAGTGATTTTCGATGCTCCATTCGAGATACTAACGCAAATTAGGACAACGCTGCGCCCTTGGCGTGCGTGACTTAGCGGCAAAATGCGATTGTCTTGACCGTCTTCCTAGGAAGAGAAGAAAGGAGCCATCACTTATATCACAGGATCATTAACTAACAACACTAGCAACCTAGGACCAAACCCGAGACTTTAACCCGCTATCAGCTAATTATTACGCTCCCAAACAGCTTAATCTCTTGGGATCTACGTATAATTTCTATTGTAAGCAGTGGGCACTATTGCTGTAGGCGGCTGATCGTTGCCAGCGTCATTGGTGGAAGGGCTGCGAGAGGGCGTTTGGCCACACCTCACCCACTCATTCCACCAATGACGTTGGCAACAATCGCCCGCCCCAACTATCGTGCCCACTACCCTTAACCCTTTCACATCCAAGAGCTCTGAAACAAATCGCATGAGGCTGCGTTTATACTTTGCGGCAGCGTAGCGCGCTTCCAGCGTACGCCAGCGGCAGTGCCGAAGAGAGGATGCATATCGATCTAGCTTCACCAGCGTCACCAGCGGCACGCTGGCGTACGCTAGCGTACGCTAGCGTTTCTCCAGCGTTTCACCAGCGTTTTGCTAGCGTTTGCAGCGGCAGGGGAGTAGAGACTATGTGGGCGTGCAGAGACGCACAATCGAAGTGTATTGTAGAGACTATGTGGCCGTCAGAGACGCGCAATCGATGTGTATTGTAGAGACTATGTGGCCGTCAGAGACGCGCAATCGATGTGTATAGTAGAGACTGAGGGCGAGTGAGAGACGCGCAATCGATGTGTTTTGTACCTCCAGCTCTCCCATAGTCTCTACTCCCCTGCCGCTGCAAACGCTAGCAAAACGCGGTCGCAGTGAAACCGCTGTCAGTTGGTGAAGCGGCTAGCGGCACGCATAGCGTAACGGCCAAGGTACGCTGGTGACGCTGGTGAAGCTAGATCGATATCTATCCTCCTCGGCACTGCCGCTGGCGTACGCTGGAAGCGCTACGCTACGCTGCCGCAAAGTATAAACGCCAGGCCTCAAGGAAAGAAAATGTTACCCACTCTTTCACTAGATACTGTGTACCGGGATGCAACTGATGCCATGCGCAGCCAGTAACTTTTCTTTTCCATGAGCAGAACATATTACACCTAAAAAGAGCACCTGTACTGCTCAAACAATTAGCTCTATCTTATACCCGGCATGCTGGACACGTATAAACCTAGGAATAGAGCCACAATACCAGAGAGAGGCGTTGAATTCAAAGCTCCGCTTCAAAATTTCAGCGATCAGCTCCATTTGGCGTTTAGTCACGATCCAAATCCCCTTGCTAGCGTCACGCATTCTCTCTCTTCCATAAACCGGCCACGTTCATCATAGGGAGAAATAACGGACAAGACTTTATGTACCTCGTTCTCTACGCACGAAGCATATTCTCCTCCTCGTGTAAGGAACTCTATACGAATGAGAGTGACAGTCCACTATTCATTTGATTCCTGATGGTGCGACTCCCCTGATTCATTAGAATGTTCATAATATTCTTCTCGGAGTTCTCTATGTCCGTGAATTCCTCGCTGACCCTCATCCACTTCGTCTCTGTTCATGCAATTTCCGTCATGCTGACTGTCTTTATCCTTTGGTACTGCATCCTTTACAGGTCTAGATTACGAAAGGCGCTCTGCAGAAAACAGACGATTGGGACCATGGTCGCCACGATTAACATCTGCTCCACCAACCGCACGTTGTCCGTCTCGTTCGCGACGTCGCTGTTCTTCATCCATGCGCAACTGTTTCCTCTCTCGATTCACCGACGTCGCTGTTCTTCATCCATGCGCAACTGTTTCCTCTCTCGTTCACGACGTCGCTCTTCTTCATCCATGCGCAACTGTTTCCTCTGCAAGGACAACCCGTCTCGTTCACGACGTCGCTGTTCTTCATCCATGCGCAACTGTTTCCTCTCTCGTTCACGACGTCGCTGTTCTTCATCCATGCGCAACTGTTTCCTCTCTCGTTCACGACGTCGCTGTTCTTCATCCATGCGCAACTGTTTCCTCTCTCGTTCACGACGTCGCTGTTCTTCATCCATGCGCAACTGTTTCCTCTCTCGTTCACGACGTCGCTGTTCTTCATCCATGCGCAACTGTTTCCTCTCTCGTTCACGACGTCGCTGTTCTTCATCCATGCGCAACTGTTTCCTCTCTCGTTCACGACGTCGCTGTTCTTCATCCATGCGCAACTGTTTCCTCTCTCGTTCACGACGTCGCTGTTCTTCATCCATGCGCAACTGTTTCCTCTCTCGTTCACGACGTCGCTGTTCTTCATCCATGCGCAACTGTTTCCTCTCTCGTTCACGACGTCGCTGTTCTTCATCCATGCGCAACTGTTTCCTCTCTCGTTCACGACGTCGCTGTTCTTCATCCATGCGCAACTGTTTCCTCTCTCGTTCACGACGTCGCTGTTCTTCATCCATGCGCAACTGTCTCCTCTGCAAGGACAACATGATAGAAGACGTTCTGGAAAATTACACAGTTTGTCTTCCCAGCATACTTAATTACCACACTCGCCTCCGGAATTCTGGTCCTTGCCATGTGCAAAGTGAATGGATTGCTATCTCTAGTAGCGTGCCTCCTTCTCCGCACAAAAGTGCACAGGAACGGGGTTGGAGGGTAGCGATATCCGGGTAGTGAATCCCGACTTTGTCCGCACTGCCGCACGGCCCACGTTTAACCGTAGCCAAAAGCGCTGTTTGTCTGCGCCCTCTCACGTCCGTTTATTCCCTAACTCTAGCTGCTAACGCGCTGCGGAATTTTGGCACTGACGCAAGTGCTGCACGCCGATGACAGCTGGGGCAAATTCAAGAAAGGATGACAGGGTATCATCCTTCATTCCCGTTCACGTGCATTTTAAGCGCAGAATGAGGCACGCTAACCTCGCGCATAGCAAGAATCATCCTCAAAGGCGAATATACAGTTTGTCTCACAGCATGAGCTAATCTATTTTAAGAAACATGGCTCCACAATAAAGGTTATCAAGTTCGACCAGTAACTAACTATCTCTTCCTTCAGCTTCGCTTGGAGTTTGAACTGTTCCAGTTGCTCAGCGGCTTTGATAGACATAGAAGAAGCAGTGTTGGACTGGAGCGCGTCAAGAGCAGGCAAATCTCAAATACATGTAATGGACCTGGATCTAGAAGAACTGAAGTGAATTACTACAAACACTTACTTTGCTTAGATTTGGTTGGTTTAATCTGTGATCGCTGATCAACACTTGGAAGACCTATAAGAAAAAACATTCAGGTGCATGAAGAGCAATTGTCTGGCAGTATATAATACCTGCAGAACCGGGAGGGGTAGCTTGTGCATAGTTTTCACTCGGAAGAAGATTGTCCAGGACAGAGACACCTAAATGTTTCTTATATAATTTACAAACAAAATTGAAAGGATCACACATTTCTAAGTACCTGCTGACAAAGGAGTTTCAGGCCTCGGATCAGCAGGAAGTAACTGGTCAGTGAGTTTCTACAAACACTTACTTTGCTTAGATTTAGTTGGTTTAATCTGTGATCGCTGATCAACACTTGGAAGACCTATAAGAAAAAACATTCAGGTGCATGAAGAGCAATTGTCTGGCAGTATATAATACCTGCAGAACCGGGAGGGGTAGCTTGTGCATAGTTTTCACTCGGAAGAAGCTTGTCCAGGACAGAGACACCTAAATGTTTCTTATATAATTGTACAAACCAAAATTGACGTGATCACAACATTTCTAAGTACCTGCTGACAAAGGAGTTTCAGGCCTCGGATCAGCAGGAAGTAACTGGTCTAGTATCGAAACACCTGAAAATAACACCCATTTATTTTGGTGCCGAAACTGAACAGGTACTTTTCCTAAACCCAGGTAGTTCGTGCTGAACCACATTCGTACAAGTATGAAACTTTCCTGTCGCAGTGACCGGCGTTCTCGATCGCGTCCCTGTCGCGTGCCAGGCCCACCGCTTTTCCTGGAGTTGGAACATACCATAATCGCAAAGAAATGAAACGCACCGCTCTTGTTCGAGTGCTGAGTCGACACCACTTCATTGAAGTTCTCATCCACCACCTTAGGTTTTGGTTCATGAAGCTCGCGACGAGAGCTACTACGACCTAATGGGCGAGCAGCATCAGTGACTTCCGTGTTACAATCATCTGAATGAAAACTTGAAACGATCATAAAGGGTTGTCATTAACCTCACCAAAACTAACAAATACACTCCACATCCCCGAAGGATGCAGTGGGCGTGGCTGCGTACTTCGTTTTAGCATAGTGCACGATGAGTTACTCGTGGGATATTTTATTTTGACACGGCTGTTACCGTTTCTTGTGTTGAACAAGACCTAGTTACTGTCATCCCACTGTTATATCACACTGAGGTGGAGCCGCCATCTTCAGATGTAGATGCAGCCACGCCCACCGCTTTTCCTGGACTTGGAACATACCAAAATCGCAAAGAAATGAAACGCACCGCTCTTGTTCGAGTGCTGAGTCGACACCACTTCATTGAAGTTCTCATCCACAGCACCTTCAGGGTTTTGTTCACTGCAAGCTCGCGACGAGAGCTACTATGACCTAATGGGCGAGCAGCATCAGTGACTTCCGTGTTACAATCATCTGAATGAAAACTTGAAACGATCATAAAGGGTGTATAAGCTTCAACCATAACAACAAATACACTTCCACATCGCCCGTTGGAATGCAGTGGGGGCGTGGCTGCGTACCTCGTTTTTGGCATGGCGTACGATGGGTTACTCACGGGATATTTCATTTTGACATAGCAGTTACCTTGTCGTGCGTTGAACAAGGACCTAGTTACTGTCATCCCACTGTTATATCACACTGAGGTGGAGCTACGCTCATCTTCAAGATGTAGAACGCAAGCCAACGCCCACCGCTTTTCCTGGAGTTGGAACATACCATAATCGCAAAGAAATGAAACGCACCGCTCTCTTGTTCGAGTGCTGAGTCGACACCACTTCATTGAAGTTCTCATCCACCACCTTAGGTTTTGGTTTACGAAGCTCGCAACGAGAGCTACCACGACCTAATGGGCGAGCAGTATCAGTGACTTCCGTGTTACAATCATCTGAAAGGAGGGGGGGAATGAAAACTTGCAACGATCATAAAGGGTTGTCATTAACCTCACCAAAACTAACAAATACACTCCACATCCCCATGGGATGCAGTGGGCGTGGCTGCGTACCTCGTTTTGGCATGTGCAACGATGGAGTTTACTCGTCGGGATATTTCATTTTGGCACAGCTGTTACCGTTTCTTGCGTTGAACAAGAATATGCTCATGGCTGTCACCAAAATAAAGTATCCCACCGAAGTGCAGCTACCCCCACCTTCAGAGCGCAGCAATGCCCACTGCTTTTCCGGGATATGGAGCATACCAACAAACTGTGAACAAATGAAACGCACCGCTCTCGTCCGATTGCTCAGACGAAAGAACTTCATTGGACTTCTCATCCGTAGCCTCAATTTCTGGTTTGCTCAGCTCATTATCATTCGCTGAAATGTTGCAGATAGACAACGATGAATGAACGTGAACAGGTAGAGATCCCAGGTAGAGGTTAATCTTAATGTGAAATGCTCACTCTGTTGCGGTTCCTGCTCCTTAACGGCAGCTAAGAAGAGCCTTGAGTTCTCGAACTGTATCAGCACTGATACATCCAAAATCTATTTCCACCTCCTCTGGAGCGCTACGCTGTAATGTTGGCCCGATCGATAACAGGCAAATGTCGAAATCAATAGATCACGAGATCAACGTTTGATCTCACGCATACCGAAAACTCTCCTCTGCCTCTTACAACTATCGACGACTTTGCTGAGTGAATCACTCGTGAGTTTGCTGATCTCTGTGCGGAGTTGAAGCATTTCATCATAAGACATAGCAGGCTCAGGTTTTCCATCAGCGACCTTCCTTCATTCCCCGCTTGTTTCTCAAACGACGTTGTGCAGCCAGCTAAAATGTGCAAGCTTGTAACTGAAAGAAAAAAAAAGAAAAAAATGGGTCCTCACAGTAATTTTGATAGGAGCCACGCATCATTGAGATACGCATCCCATCTTTCAACTCTCCCTTCCTCAAAAATCACAGTTTCGAAAATGAATACTTCATCTTTCAGTGATAGTATAACCACTTGAAAATGCAGCCTAACACTCTTCTCAAGCCTAGTGTGCAAAAGCCAGATAATTTCAATCAGCACTAGTGGATCACATATGACCTTCATAGAACTGCGACCTCTGCGGCTTCACCCACTCTGCCATTATCTGTACTTCATGTCCTGCAGAATAATGGGGGGAGGTGTTTTGCAGGTTCTACTCCAAGAGCTTCTAAAACAGGTCATTCATTATCTGTTGTAAACAGATAAACGAACGTGAATAATCTTCAAAGCTATACGGTCGTTATTATCACAGAAGCAAGTTGGGGAGTGTCAGCATTGCGCTAGTTTTAGGGCCAATATCTCGAAAACCAATTAAGAAAGGTCGTTCTGTTCATCGCGTCTCGCAAGTTAGGTGGCCTTCAGACTTCGCGATGACTCGCGGTGAGCCAACGCGTTATCCTTTACTCTCTCTCTCAAAACACGAGTGGTCGGCAGTGATTGATACCTATCGATGGCTGCGCTCCCACTTAGCATCAGAAAGATATTCGCAGAGCGTCGGAGCACGACGTAATGCGTCGATGCGGAGTCTAAACGCTGCTTAAGCTACAGAGGGGACGGCCATGGTACTCCTCCTACGCGAAATCAGACAGGCGGGCTGTCGTGGTATAAAAATGTGATCTCTAGCCACCCTCAGCGAGTGTAGGAGTACACCCGGACCCTGCTTTAGCACGCTGGGTGAAGTTCGAGAGAATGCAGTATGAGGCGCTATAAGCCTCAGAAGGGGCCACTTTCCAGCCTTATCTAGCCACGCGGTAAAGCCGAGTCATAGTGCTTAGGAAAAGGGTGCGGCTAGAAAGTGACAATTCCCAAATTTAAGCGATGTTGAGAAATGTCATGCAGCATCTGTGCGAGGATGCAGACGAACAGACATCACTCGGTTTAGGCTTAGTTCCGCTTGAGAGCCCATCCCGAGGCACATAGAAAGCAAAATCACCAACACACGAAAAAAAATCTAAAATCAGTTTCTCACCTGTTTAGCAGTGCAGCGTATACCTTTGCCACTACGGCCTGCCATGCTTCGTCAGCAATTGACTGCAAAAAATGATTCAAACAATTTTAACCAGTCAGGAAGCTATAATTCTAAAGTAAATCGGGGTGGGAAAGGGGAGCGCACATAGCGGTGCTGCTGTGTATCTTCGCCTAACCAAGGCTCAGGCATGGAAGCAAATGTCGGTGTAGTCGCGGGTTCCCGCACAGCAGTAGGTCCTGACGCGACTTTTGTATCTGCGCTCTAAGCCTACGCCTTGCTCAAAAGGAGCGACGCAGAGGCGCTCGCGCAGCCTTCCTATTTACTCGTCAACCTTTGCGGACTTTGAAGAACTATAGTAAACGTTAGAGAATAGGTTGATGTAAGATTTCCCCAGAAAAAGCATCAGGCTCGCTAATGTGTGTCTGCATAAATAAAGCAGAAAAATTGGCGCCAGACCAAGTATTGATTAGTCACCAGGTTTAGGGACATAAGAAGGAACGAAATGCCGTGCAGTCTTGTTCGCTGCAGATGAAAGGGCGTTTCAGTGGAAGATGATATTCGGCGCCGCCTGTGTTATTCGCTGGTTGTCGAAGCGTTTGGTATGCGACAATTGGCGGAAAATGACTGGTACGAAGAAAATAGCGCAAGATTGACGTTTGCCGATACAAAATAAAGAAAAGATACCGGCCAGCGTTGCACAACCTGTCATGTGCCGCAACTGTATTTTCCGGGTTTGAGGCGTATACAGTCCTCTTCATTGCAGACCGGTGGGGCGGGTGAGCCGCGCTGCGCGGGTGACGGATAATTGGTACGACCAGCCTAATTTAGAGGTAGCTGGCACCCGGCAGAGAGGCAACTTTAATGAGGTGCGAAAACTTGGTGCCTAGCTGCGAAGTGACCTCATTAACGAGCGAGGGCTGACAGGTCATCTTGTTATCCACATGTTG